TACTCTATTTGCCTCAAATTCTAGCTTAAAGTCGAGACGGCAAAAAATCGTCTATACAAAAAGAAAGACAACAGTTTTTTATTTATTAATATACCACTTACCATTTACATATATAAAACAAATTTATATAATGAAAAATAACGAATACCTAGTTCAGATGAAATCATCTGAACCTCTAGTAATATGTATAACATATTGCCTATACATGTAGGTACTATCAATAATTAATCTCACTAAGGGTGAGATTACAGAACGTCTGCAACTTTGCAGATCTGCAAATATGGCGACAACTTTGAAAATATGGCGGACCTACAGATGTAAGTATAAAGTTTTCGTATTCCAAAAAATATCTGCAAATTCGCAATATTAATTGTGGTTTATTACCCCCAAGAACACTAAACCCGATAATCTGACACCACGAACTGTATTAAATCAAAAGGAACAGAAAACGTCATGGTTATTAAAGAAAAGTAAAGTAAAAATTGACAATCTTCAAGTTTGTAGGATGTTCTAACCTCCTGTAAAGTTACAGATAAATTGCAGGCGCAGAAAGTGAAAACACGTTTCTGTAATACCATGTTTCTCTTTTGCACCTGCAACTGATATTTGTAGGTAAATGCAAGTACGATTTGCAGAACTTCTGTTACCTCCCCTTAAGGGTGGATTTGGGTTTAGTGTTGTTGGGGGTAATAAACCACAATAAATATTACAAATTTGCAGATATTTTTTGGAATACGAAAACTTGATACATCTGTAAGTCCGCCATAATTGCAGATCTGCAAAGTTGCCACCATATTTGCAGATCTGTAATCTCACCCCAAAGCAATTGAATTTGGGGCGTAATAGTCTAGCACATACTATACTAGAAACGGCTTTTAGACGAATAAGAGAACAAGGGTAACCTTTTATCAGTGATATGTCAACAATAAGGTATTTATAAATATTTTTAGTATTCTAAATAGGGACCGGTAAGCGTGTCTTTTGTGTCGACTAGTATGACTGACTGTTATGTTATGTTGGGTATGGGGTATTAATGCCCCACAACCTAAAATATCTATTGTGTCCCATTATGTCGCTAATGTATCGAGGAAATAGTATCGATGCCTATAACGACCTTTCCAATCCTATCTTCTTAAGAAAGTGTAGGATTTGGAGTAGCTCAAATTAGGTAGATCGACCTCTTCTCTTTGATATGCTCCTAAATATAGTGCCCTTACATTTTGAAGTGCTACACATCCAGTCAGAATACGAATGGAGGTTTCATCTTCCTCCTCCTCACAGTATCTGCACTCACTATCTGCTACTACTAACAGTTTACTAAGGTTCCCCTTTGACTCAGAAATGCCCGGTAAGGATCGTAGCCTGTTCTTGCTCAAGCTGATACAGGGTTTCGTTCTTTTCTGGTTATATTTACCCAGAAGTACCTTAGCCTACTTTAACCCTAAGAGATTATTCCAATAATCGGTTTTTCTACTGCCCAATTGTTTTTTAATTTTTCCTAACATTGTGTCACGGCTAATAACGCAGAGCGACTTGGGTTCCACACAGGGTGTTTGAGCCCTTTTTCTTACGAGACTATCTGCAATCTCGTTACCGTGTACCCCGTTATGTGCTGGGATCTAAGTAAGAGTAACTGTATTTTTCTGACCTAGCTCATTTAGTTTTTCAAAGCATCTCCAGACCATTTTTGATCTGATTACCTAAGGGCTCAGCACTTTGATGGCTGATTAGTTATCGGCCATGATGATAATCTCTTGTCTTAGATAGGTTCTCCCGATGTTGAACTAGATACACTTCTCAATAGCGTGAATTTCCGCCTAAAAGATGTTTAGGTATCTACCCAAACTTTTAGAATGCCTGGTTTTATGCCCATACACTCCTATTCCAGTTCTTTTTATAGTTTTGGAACCATAGGTATACCACAAAATGGCATGTATTTCGGTCGTGCTTGCACGACTGATTTTTGGCTCCATTCTTTCTTATAGCCCATCTTTATGGTTTAGAAGTTTTCCACAAAACTGTAGTTCTTTCTTATTTCGCCTTGTACATCATGTTTTCCACATTTTCATTCATTAAATATAAAGGGGCAAGGTTTAAAGTCAGCTTCATTGCAGCCGTAAGACAGGTTTTCATTACACCGATGATACAAACATAGGCTACTCTTTTTACTTTTAAGATTTTAGTTCTCGTAGTAGCTAAACTAGTCCTGTTACTCCAGGCTACAGCCCCATAAGTGGTGATTGGTCTCATTGCAATGTTTCTGCATACCATTAGTGTTTTTGTGACCTTATTTACTACATCTTTCCCATGTATGTTCTTGAGAAGTTTGTTGTCTAGGGTTAGGCATAGATATCTATTTCGTCTAATTTGACTGAAACTTTGTATTTTATAATCAATATGTTAGGTTATTCTAATAACTTGTGAAAATTGTATTGTTATTGGTTTCGTCGGCGTAATAACGGTCCGTGAAGGGTCTAATGTATTTATTAAGAACATACAAACCTAAACAATAATACAAACTGGTTTCTCAAACAGCTAACAATAGCTAACAGTAAGTGTAATGGTTGAAATACGTTCTCCTGGTATATCCGATGCAATCCTTTTGTGTTGAGTGATTTGATTTTTCATGTATTATAAATCATAAAGTAATAAAATGTTTTGTGTTAGAACCCTATTTTATTTTTCCTTAAAACATATGTTTCATGTTAGGGACATATTCCATATAAGGTACAAAAATACAGTTTTCAATAGAATATTTTTCTATAAATCCTGTAAAATAGATTACGTAGGTATATGGTTTTGAAACGTGTAGAGAACCTACATAAAAAATAAGCGGTACTAAGAAGGCATTCTGAATTTATAATACACAAAAATCATAACGGTATTCCATATTTGGCTTACTTCCTGTATAATTTTAGCATTGTTTAATAAGAAGCTGGTATTTTTCGCTTTTTTATAATTTGGTGTCATTGGTATCAACTACTAAGGTTATTAGCCTCGTGTTCTGTGTAGACTTTGTTACTGTTTCCCAGCGCCACTTTAGGAACAGAACTGTTAATTAGAACTCAACAGTGAATGATCGAGTGGGGAATCCTACCTGGTATTTTTCGTTTTTTTTTTTTAATTTGGTGTCGTTGGCATCAACTACTAAGGTTATTAGCCTCGTCTTCTGTGTAGACTTTGTTACTGTTTCCCAGCGCCACTTTAGGAACAGCACTGTTAATTAGAACTCAACAGTAAATGATCGAGTGGGGAATCCTACCAAGACATCAGATTTATTTTTAAATAATTAAATTACATAACAAAATCCCAGAAAACGGTGGGATTCGAACCTGGGACCCTTAGATCCGCAGGCAGACACTCTACCACTGAGCCACCCACCCCCTAAGAAGCTGGTATTAAATGCTATTTTTACTGCTGCTCTCATACTGCTGCTCTTTTTACTGCTGATTAGATACTCACGGGCAAATTATAAATAGTAGTTTGTGCAACAAGAGTGGATATAGACAATCCACTCGAGTTGTATAGTATATTTTTTCTACGACTTACTAACGAAAATCTACAAATATTAAAAATTATTTTAGGTCATTAAGATAATATAATTTTAAAATAACTTACGACTTTTTATAATTTATTAAAACAGAAGAAAAAAAAAACATTTTATTTTTCTCCATCTGAGATTCAAACTCGAGTCTTCCGTGTGTAAGGCAAGAATGCTGATCACATGTCCATCTATGCGTTTATTTTTTTTTGCTTTAATACTATTAATTAAATCGACTTCATATAGTTTTATTTAAATTAAAAAAAATATGCTGACAATTAGTTTGACAGAACTGTCACTTATTTAAAATTTTAAAAATAATAGCAGTCGGTTAAGGGGTGGGTGGCTCAGTGGTAGAGTGTTTGCCTGTGGATCCAAGGGTCCCAGGTTCGAATCCCACAGATGGCCGGGATTGTTTTTATTTAATTTAATTATTTAAAATTAATTCTGATGCCTTGGTAGGATTCCCCACTCGACCATTCACTGTTGGGTTCTAATTAACAGTGCTGTTCCTAAAGTGGCGCTGGGAAACAATAACAAAGCCTACACAGAACACGAGGCTAATGACCTTAGCGGTCGATGCTGATGACACGAAATTAAAAAAAAAAAAAAAATAGCAGTCGGTTGATCAAAATATGAACTGTGAATGGTGGATTTATTTTGTTTGCAGTGTTCTCACTACCTAGAATGAATATGAAATATTTTCGTTCAGTTGAAGGCAATAGCATACTTGTTCGTTTTGTAATCTGTGCGTAGATAAGTTAATATCCATGTGGATGTAGAAAAAATTATTATTTAAACTAGGGTCACTAGTTCGCAAATACCAAAACTGGAAAACATTTCATTGATCTTGTCGATAATTTCTGATTTAGACATTTAGGAATGTTTAAAGATTTCAAAAAATCTTTAGTGATGACTTGTAATAATTAAATACCAAAATATCCTGATACTTGTACATCTTTATAGCAATTTTTTTCCAAGTTCTGTCTAGAAAATTCTAGTTATTATCCGTTTATCACTCCGTTCTTTATAACAATTTTTGTGATACAAGTAGTTCAAAGTGGCTTCAATTTTCTATATGCTTTTATTGCTGTGGACAAATTAGTAAAATTCTGAACTCCTGTTAAAACAAACCTCATGTTGTCTTACTTTTTTTTTATAAATTAGATCACGTTTGAAATATGCTCATTACATAAACGTATAAAATTAAAACCACAGTACATTTAAATCTCCAATCAAATAGACAACAATGCATTACATAATATAAATTACCACTGTTTTGCTAGTGACCTGCTTGTTGATCTGACCGAAATGTAATATAAAAAAAGACAAAATCACATTGATTAGATCCGTTGAGAGCAGTGAAGCAAATATTTTAAATAAAATCTTCAATCTTCCTTTTTCAATTTCCTATAGAAAGTAAATATAAATATTATAAAAGAGAAGTTACTGGACCGTATGTGCTTTAGTTTTAAAATGATTGTGACTTTAAGAGTCGCTCTTCTAGTTATTTTTATCGATTTCTGTTTATCTAAGGATGTAGTGGTTTTTCCAGGAAAAATAAATGATTTTGCGTTGTACAACACGAATTTGTTTGCTATACCAACGCCGTTGCCTGCTGATCAAGTGGTAGCACAAGCTCTTGTGGAGGAAGGTAAAACAACAAAATATTATTTTTTAACTTAATTTTAATTACTGCATTTGTGTTATTTTATCTATCGCTTTTGTACAATTACACATTTTAACCTCATCACCAACTCCAAAATTAGAATTAGAGATCACGCCAGATCTTTACATTTCGCCAAAAACGTGTTTTTAAAAAATGTCCGTATATACGTGCGTGTGTGCGTGTGAGTTTATTTTTTTAACACGAAAGGGCTCGATTTATCTATCAGATTGTTGTACTTTTTAATATGTTTTGTTGTAGTTTTTTTTTGTTATCGCCATCTACAATTTTTATAAGTAAGTCCCTAAAAATGGATCACTTTTTTTACTTTTGACTTTAGTGGAAAGTCATGTATTGGAACACATTTATCAGATACAAGTATAAACGTGAAATATTTAAATTTTGGATTTTAAATTATTGTTATAAAATTTTAATTAATATTGATTTCGAAGAAGTTTAGGATGGGAGGTTGTGGAAGCTTTATGATGCTGCCTTTTTAATTTTGTGTTTACAAACCATTATTTTTCATAAATTGCTACAAAAATTTAACATAATAGGATTGCTTGGATTTTGACAGTCTTGTTAAAAGAATAAATCACCACTATTTCATCATTTGGCTATTTATTAAGGCATCATAAATATTTATGCATTTAACAGCCTTAATATCCATTATAAAAACATATAATTACTGAAAATAGTGTAAGTTTTCTTTAATAAAGTCAGATTTTTTTTCAATTTAAAAATCTTTTTTTGTTGTTCTATATACTAAAAAGGCATCTACAAAACATTGAATTTATTTAAGAAGGGGCTTATGTTATATTATGTTATGTTGGGAATGGGGTGTTAAGTTAATACACTGCGACCTAAAAGGTCTATTGTGCCCGCTTCTCTCGCTAATGCATCAAGAAAATGTCTCTATGCCTATAACGACCCTTCCAATCCTATCTTCTCAAGGAATTGTAGGATTTGGAGTGGCTTCAAGTTAGGTAAACCGCCTTCTTCTATTTGATATGCTCCTAGGATTCCGAAGTGTAAGAAAGGGGTTTCTTCCCTACTTCGGCCTTCCTGGAAGATTCCATGGGGCTGTGGCGCTATTTTGCCTCATCAGTGTCTAGTATATTTTCATCTAAACAAATGATTTGAGTTTACTACGTACCTTTTTGGCATTATTTAACTATTATGTGTGATATGCAAAGTGGTAATTAAATTACTGTGAGTCTATGAATGATTTTACTTGTCGTTATTGTCCCTGAAAAGCGACGAAAAAACAGGGCTGTCCTTGTTAGTGTGTTCGTTATTATTTGTGGGGTATTATTCTAACATTAGACTCAAATAAACGACATAGATGGTCGTCGAGACAGCATTCGATGAGGCCCACGCTCGCCTAATTTTTACTTTAAAAATCTTTATTCACCTGTTAAGTAATAAAATTTACATCTACAATAACATATAAGAAAATAAAATTAAATAAACTTTAATATTTCTTCTTTGATTTCTAACCATGGTAGACCTGGGAAAACGGCTGATGTTCTGCCCTATTGTTGTTGCATATGTTTTCCTGTGATCCTCAATGTGTCAACTCCTTACATAGATTGATATTATTTTACTAGAATGCAACAAAGCGGTACGTGACTTGAGTGAAAGTGATGTCTGATTTTAATTATGTCTATTTCCCTGAAAAGGCTATTGAAAAAAAAAGGGTTTTGACGATGTGCGTTTCTTCGTAGTATATATTAATAGTACCTATTTATGCACTGCTCATGTACCAGACATTGGCCGTCCGTAGAATCGGATACATCCGATTTCTGTTTTCGATTCGACGCCCCGCCCACCACCATTCGGTTGCCCTCGCTCGCTGTTTCGCCGGCCACCTTATCAATCAGTCTTCCGTCCGCTAAGTTAAATCCACTGTTCGCCGTTTTAAGTTAGAATTTTAGTATTGTGATCACTGCTGTGGGAGGATGTTGCTCATCGCTTTAATGTTTATGTCTTGCGTATATGTCCAGGTTTTCGTGCAACCAGATATACTTACTATTAGCGTCATTGCCCCTGTTCATGTTGATCTTGTCTTCGATGATGTAGTGAGGAAAATATCTCTAATAAAATATCTTTGCTGAGTTAATAATGAATGGTTTAATAAGAAGTATGCCTGCTTGTTCGTGAATGTCCGTGATTCTAGTGTGCCTATCACACCTCACGGCCAGCCTGCATAATTTGTAGTTATTTGAAGTGGCATTCTGCCTCTGAACAGAAGACTGGGCTTCCATAAGTTAGTATGGGCCTCAATACTTGGTTGTACAACAATAATTTGCTACCCCTGTGTAACAAGGGATAAAGTGTTTTTAGCATTCCTGTGATTTTGCCACTCGGTCAGTAATGTGTTTGTCAAACGTTAGCCCTCTATCCAGACAAAAACCTAGATACTTGACGTGGTTTTTATGTGTGACTTTTTGCCCCTGTACTTTTACCTTAGTTATTATTTTTCTCTTATTATACTTTGTTAGTACTGTACTTTCCGTTTTACTGGGATTTAATTTCATATTTCTGTCTAAATAGGGGACTAACGTTCTGTTGATATGTAAATCCAGTCTCCTATTCGCGATCTCTGCAGAGTCTGATAATTTAATTAGACAAGTGGATTCGGCGTACAGTGCTGTCTATATACCAATAATTCCCATTAGCATGCTATGATGGTATGCAAATGCAGCGAAAATACTGAATCCTGGGGTACTCTGGCCACTGCTGTGTAAAGTATTGACGTTGTGTTGTTGATTTTAACATGATATAGTTTGTTAACTAGGTATGACTGTGTTATTTTGATAATGTGCGCCGGATAATTGTTCACAAACATTTTGTTTGTCAACCTTTCAGACTCCGGTCCATACGGTGTCAAACGCTTTGGCTGTGTCCAATGCCATCAGTACTGTAAGCCTGTTATTATTCATAGATTTATTCGCATGATGTGCTACTTTTATGATTTGCGTTACAGTACTGTGCACTGCTATGAAACCGTATTGTTTGTCTTGGTCTAGTATATATTTGTGTACTCTTTTTGATAGTCCTGTAAGTAATGAAATAAACTTCCACCACACCAGGATTTTTCTGTGGCTTTAATATCGGTATTATTCGCGCTATTTTGTGGATTAGGATAATATTGGGTGTCAAATATTGCTTAATTAAATAGTGTATTTGAACGACAGCCTTTTTACTTCTAACGGTGGCATATTAAATAGAGAGTTATTGCAAATTTCTATAACGTCAACTACAAATAGTGACAACGTAATTAGAGGCAAATAAATTCCATGCTAAAATTAGACTTATTGCAAACCTGAAATTTTGACATTAGAGTCCTTGTCCTTACACATATTTCTAACCTCATTTTAAAAATTTTAAATTACAGTTCATCTTTTTTGTTATTTAAAATAGTACATAATATGAAAGAGGCATTAGAAATTAAAATTTAAGAAGGTTTAGACGACGACGATATTAATATTCAATATTAAAAAACTTCGAACTGATACGAATGTTGGCGAGCGCACCCGAAGACTATGAAGTCGCCACTAACTGCTGTCCTTAAACACCCACATTTAAGGACAGGCACAATCTTTATTAAAGTCGGTTCTAGAATGTTAGTGATCTGCGCATGCTTAGATGTTAAAATAAGAGCGGCACTAATAGTGACTGACCTTAAGTGAACTTGCAATAATTTTCTAATATTTCCCTTATATAGTTTATTGTTCTATTGTATTTGGCGTATTATTTAGGTATATTTCTTGAAAGTATTCACCAGAACTCCCTTGTCTTTGTCTGTGTAGTATTCGTTTTGTTCGAATTTTAGTGTGTGAAGCTGCGAATATAGTTTTTTAACCTTTTCGCAACCTTTCACAGTGAATTGTCGTATAGATTGAGTTCCTTTGGAGTTTTTTCCAACGTTTGTTACTGTATCGCTTTTATTTTAGTGTTTATAAACTTGGCAATATCTAATAGTTTAACCCTGTCGTCAATCAATCTGTACGACTGCCATCTTTTTCTTATTTGATTTTTACGTCTGATTGTGTCTGTGATTTCGTCTGTAAATACTTTGCGATATAATTTTAAAGTTTTCTTAGCGGTTGTCTTGTCTCGTTCTTTTTTATGGCTTCTGTTATTTTGTAAAATTTGTTGTAATTTTTTGTTTGAATATTGCTGTTGATGTCTACTAGAATATTGGTGTTACTCCTATACGCGTTCCAATTGGTTGTTGCAAAATCGTTAAACTTGCCCTGCCTTCTTTGCGATTTAATTGATAATCTAAGCACAAAGCAGACATGGTCATGCTCTGACGATAGTATTAAGATGGTTCAAAAGTTATGAATATTTTCTATGTTCTTAGTAACAGCAATACATCCAATGTACTCGGTGTGTGTTGTACCTGAAAAGGAAAGTATGTGGGCGTGTCCGTATAGTGTATTATAAGTTTGTATTTTTGTTTGGGATATTATAATTGGTATCCCATTCAGGATGCAGTTGAGATCACCCATCAGATGACCCTCTGCCCTACTGACATCATTCTATACAAATCATAGACGGAGTAGTCAATCGTCTAAGTGCGATATGGCTAATCGACTCGAGTTGTACAGTAAAGAAGAAGTGAAGGAAAATGTCTCATGTTGTTATTTTCTTTTATGCCTAGAAAACCATGAGTGGTTCATATTCCTAGCAGGTTTTAATATATCCGCTAGCGAAAACCTTAAAATTACGAAAAACCCGTTTTTCCTAGCGTTTGTTTGACAAAAACTACCTTGTAGCGCCGCTACTGTTACCTTTAGGGCAAACTTTACATTTTCTGTGAAATGGAATTTTATTCCTTGTTGTAACTCCGAAGTTATACCCGAGAGCAATTTAAAAATATCGGGTCTATTTTGAAATTTTGAAAGTAAACTCCACATTGCGCTATCTTGTTTTTCAAGAGCTATGTCGTTTTGTACAAAGTGTATGTGGTGTTTTTATATTAAAAATCTAAGAAGCAGGCGATTATGGTTTTTTAATTCCTCCTTATCATCATCTTCATTAACTGTCACCCACAATGCATTTAGGTAATTCCCCTAGCAGTTTTGGCATATAGATAAACAGATATAAAAGATTATCCATAGTTTTAAATGTAGTATTATTCAAATGAATTAATTTTTATAGATAAAAAATTCACGGAAATTTTTCTGCAGTCACGCATGCGTTTGCTGCATTCTTTCGATATTGTCCAGAAAACCATACAAAATTTAATTTGGTGATGACGAGTATTTGGCGAGTACAGGAGCAAGGTTATTGTTCGCCTTATGTTCCTAGCCCCACAAGTCTGGAGGTATTTCATTTTCCAAATATAACCGCATTTATACATACGTCAATTGTTCTTTTGTGGCCCCCTAATATGGTGGAATAGAAAATATGTTAGGTTTTAAAACTGCAACAGATGTAATAAATGACTTCTACCTGATATTGGTTTACTTTGCTGGGACGTCGTTCCTTCTCAAAATACATTTTCGTCCAACGTTGTCAACTTTAGCTTGTGACAAAAAGCGATCTAAAAGGACAGTGACCTACTTCTCGGGTTGTATCAATGAATTTCTCTTACCACCCACAAATTGCGAAAAATGAGTATTGTCTTTGCCAAATTATTTCTAAATTTTGAAGTAAGATACCTTTCCATACTAACTGGCATTAAAAAATTATTGCCCCATTAGGTTTTTTGTCAATATTTTATTAAAGCAAGTTTAGTCACATTATAAAGTCAAGAATCACCACTGTACTATATATCGCCCCTAGTGTGGCTAAGCCGATGTTTGCTTTCTATATCTATATTTTGAGATGATCTTAGATAATACTCTTTACAATGTCCCTCCATTTGTTCCTGTCCTGTACTTTTTCTTGCCAACTATTCACTCCTGCCCAGCGTAGATTTTCTTTCACTTCTTTCAGCCATCCTGATTTGGGTTTTCCACGTCTTCTTCTTCCTCCAATGTTTCATTTCCTGCTCTTCAAACATGTCTTAAACAACTAAATATGGATTGTTATATTTTTGTTATTATATCTTCTTCTAGCTCTTGTTTAATTTCGTCATTTGTTCTAATTCTGTATTCTTATTCTGTGATTTTAATTAATCCTATATTAATCCTTCTATATTTTCTTTCCATAGTTCATAGATCTTCTTTCTCTTTTTTGTCATAATCATTGTTTCTGCTGCGTACAGTAATATTAAGTGTACCATGGGCCATTAATTAATATGGACTATTCTCTATATTAAATTTACCTGGGCATATTTCCTACGAGCTATAAATAAATAGGAAAACACCAAATATTGCAAATTTCTTAAGATGAAATGCCATCAAAAATAGCTAACAAACGATACAAAAATGAAGTATACTACACAAAGAAGTGTTGAATGAAGGACTTCATATTCACGCAGAAATTTCTGGCTCCAAAACCAATGAAGGAGTGTAGAAATAGTTTACATATAGCGGTAAGCCAAAGACAAAAATCTCACTAAGTTTAGGTAAACATGCAACTGTATTCCAAGAAGAAATAATAGCAATACATGATTGCGCAAAAGAGATACTTAGACAAGGTAAATAAAAAAACTATTGTTATTTAGACAATCAAACGACATTAAGAGCACTCAATTTCATGCAGATACACTAAATAAATTTGTGGAACTGTTTGAAATCTCTAACAGAGCTGGGTAGTCAATACAGACCAACTTTACCCTAGGTACCAGGCAACAGATGACATAAGGGTGATGAAGAGGCTAATTCAATTGCACGTTAAAAAGCCTTATGGGCTCTTTTTGGCCCAGCATTATTCTGTGGTGTCTCAAAGATAAGCAGAATACATTAAAACAGCATAAAACAGTATTAATACTTAACTAGAATAGGAAAAATACTGGAGTACTAATAGACTTAGGGACTAATAACAAGGAGTTAGACTTAAAGGACATATTATGCAGAACATCGGCCTTGTCGAAGAAATTGCAGTACATATTGTGCTTCTGTGAAGGTTAATTAGTTACACCAGATAGCTATTTCCTTGTCTACCGAGTCTACTAGAAAAGACGAAACAAGGCAAAGCTACATGGTCTACGGTCTTGACTAAATCATAGTACCTAACCATAAATGCTAAAAAATGTGGTATAAAATAAAACACAAATCATTATAAAATTTAAATAAAGTGCAAAACGTCATACAATTAATTGAGCAGTATCCATTATTGGTCTCAAGGAACTAAATATTTGGAAAATAACTTATTTTAATCTTTAGAATCACTTTCATAAGGATAATATAAAGCCAAAAGTGCTTTGCTAAGATAATTTTCATTTAAATAGTTTTTTACCTACATATATTTATCGATTTTGTATAATGCCAATAACCTCTACTTTAATAATAATAGTTTCTTTCAATGGATCCACCTTCTAAATGTATCATGTGTATCATGTTGTTAAAAATTTCGCTTGAGAATATCTTAAAACTTCAACTGGCATACTTTTTATGTATGTTCAGCGATATCTCTTTACCACCTTGTCCGATTTCTATTATTTTTTTTAATAGAAATGAGTTACTTCAGGGATGGTCCCATACAAATTTGGTCAAGATCTAAAAATTGGATCCAAGAGAAAATCCTCAATTTCTTCATTTTTTATGTATGTTCAGCGATAATTTTTTACCACCTTGTCCGATTTCCATGATTCTTTTTTTGTTGGTAAGGAGGTACTTCAGGGGTGGTCCCATAATTTTGTCAAGATCTGGCGATGGCTTTGAAGTTGGTTTTTAAAACAACTTTCATAACTTTTATCTCCCAACGAGCCATCGTTTTCGAGAAACGAAATATAGGCAAACCCAAAAATGGGACCTTCTGTAGCTAGGTTCGGAGACTTACTTTTAATACTAAACTAAAAAAATTTACTCTCTTTAATGTTCTCTACAATCCTCTCTTAAACGTTCATTGACTTAATTAACGATAGAAAGTGAAATCAGCTAGAGTTAACTTTCTTTTTAAAATCTTTAATTGGCTTTTAAGTTTCAGGAGACACGGAAGAACTTGACAACGACTATCCATCAACAAAAAAGGAAAACTCTAAAGTTTCTAAAAACGAAGAAGCCTCTCGAGATTATAATATTGCTGCAGACAGAAAAACTACTGATAAAGATATAGCTAAAGACGAGAAAGCTGTAGAAACTAAAATTAAAGAAAATACAGACGAAAATAAAGAACATGATAAAATTGAACAAATAAAAAAACAATACAAAGGTAAAAAGGGCCATAAATCAGCAAAATTTGGCGAAAAGAAAGGTCACAAAAAAGGACACAAAACCAAGGGTTACAACAACAGATTTCACAAAGATGAATACCACAAAGAACACAAACTTTATGGCGATGGTTATAGAGATAATTCTAAAAATGCATATAGAGGTTCTCATTTAAAACACGCTAATAAGGACAAAAGTTATAAGAAATCAAAGCAGAAAACCCATAGTCATAAAGATAATAAATTCGGAAAGAAGGGTGTTGATGATGTAGGTAAATTTGATGATCAACACCAAGATTTTGATAAAAAATCAGGACATGCGAATAAGGATATACATCATGTTAGTAGGATTAAAATTAAAGACGAGCAAAATCCACATCCGAATCATAGACAAGATTATATTTACTATCCTAATCATAGGCCATCTTAAAATTTTGATTTTTGGTTTATACAACTTAGTTTTAAGTGTATATTGTAAATAATTAATTTTTTTAATTTTACTATATTTTTATATGTTAAAACACTTTAGTATATATTAAAAAAACAAGTGTAACAAAGTGTAATTTCAATGTTTTATGCATTTTTTTTCTTCAATAGACAGAAAATAACAGAAACACAGTTTTATAAGTTACAAGAAATTTAATCTACAAACAAGGCAACTTAATTGTGATTTAATAACTTATAATAAATTTAATAATATGTCTGGGGGATTTTAGAAATTGTGGATGTTTTCACAATTAAGAAATCATTGCGTTCGAACCATGTAGGAATATTGACATTAACATATAGAAAACATCGTTTTCAGTTAAAATCGAACATAAAAGCTCAGGACCCAGAGTAGTTATTATTATAACTACACAAAGACAGACTAGAATGTGAAACCTTCAAATTCGTCAATGGGTCGTGGGTCGTTAAGAAAAATACAGACAGCCTATTGATAATTTATTTATCTTCAGATTACACTGTCAACATACTTGCAAAACAAATCAAAACAATATTCGCAAGGTGCTCGCCCTTCTGATTTCTGTACCGTCACCCGCTCGCATATTCCTATCAAGCGTCCAGTATCGCAGGCTCACCTTTTCCGAGTTCCCTCGAATCCGTTCAGGTACACAGCGCGCGGGAACGCATAGTTCAGGCTTTTCGCGTGGTACTCAGCGTTCGATATCGCAACATATTGACAAGATATGCGCCCCCTAAGTAATATTTTTAAATTTATGTGGCATATAATCCAAAACACATTCGCCTTAAAGTTTTATTACAAGTATAAACAAAGTAATTTTAATGTTTTTTTAAGAAAATAAACAATTAGCTTATTTTAAAAACTTATTTTCTTCTAAAGGTATATTTTTCTCCATGCACAGGAGTAAATTGTGGGGTGCTTTCGCCTTCTTTTTAACTAAAGAAGAAACTTTTCGTCCACTTTGCACTTTTCTACGTCCACATGCATGAACCTTTCTTCTTGAAACTGATGTTGGTTGAACCGATATCTTTTTCCTTTTCGGCATATTTGTTTTGTCGAATTGATCCTTGTGTCTGTACTGTTTTGGTTTATTTTATATTTATTTTTATTTAGTTTGTTTTTTTTATTTTATCGAAAAGAAAACCAAAACTTCCCTTTATAAAACTATGCTTAGTCGTTTTTATATAGATTTAACAAAATAGCTTAAATTTAATATTTATGGTAAGTTTCCCACTTACCTTTTGGGCTCTTATCTCAGGTTGGGTTCTATTGGCGCTCTAAACACTTCAAATACTCTGATAATAATGATAATTATCATTCAAGATTCAAATAACAGATTTTTTTTTTTTATTTCATAAAATGAAAATAAAGCACAATTTGACATAAATAACAATGAACATTCATGTAAGTAAAATTCCTTAAACTAATATGTACACCTTACTGTATATTCGTGAAATTATTAAAAATTTTGATCAAAATTTATAATTTGTATTCCTTTTTTTTATCCAGATTATTTTAAATTTTAATTTCTCTGCGTGACCTACTATACACGTAAAACGCGAGATCGTGCTACCATCTACGAATAAACCTCGTAAGTGTCAGATAGATTACTATTCATAACCTCTGTTGAGTAGAAATTTAAGTAAGAACATTTATTTGCGTTGCAAATATCGAAAATTGAAATGACTTTATATTGCTCTGGATAAAAATCACGAAAATACTTTCTATTTTCTCTCCTATTTCACAACATAACCTGTATTTCTATAGAAATAATATCAGAATGTGTATTTGGAATAAAGAAAAGTTTTTTAAACTATCTACACTGTTTTCGCTTATCTTCACAAGCTTTAGGTAACTATATGAAACTTTTAAAGTATGAAATATCCTTTCTTTAGTGTTTATATTTTCTTTTAACTTATAATGTGCACTGGGTGGTTTATTTGTTTGTAGCACACATGACTCAATAATGTGAAATATGGGAACTGATCTGCTTGCACTTACGTTATATCGGATTCTTTCTTTGGATGAGACACTCCAAATCCTTTGAAGACACTTCGTGGCCGGTAAGTTGAATTTTTCTTTATAAATTCATTCATACAATGCAATGTTATTTATAAATTGTATGTCATTGACTTACTTAATATTTTTTATACTGTTTAAATTATCCAAATCAATATTTATTGATTTTTTTAAACTAATTTTCTTTTAGGTGACACCTTTTTTTCGTCTCCATCTTAGATTTTTTTAGAAGTCCTTATTTATCGCGTAACTAGGGGTTGCTATGGACCAAACCTCCCTTTACGCTTACTGAGGTTTTAGAAACCAATAGAATACTTCAAATTATGACATCATCAAAACTCTACTTAAAAAGTTTTGTATTTTAATAATAAACTATAATTGATTCACAAAATTACTTTATAATAATTGAATTCAAACTTTAATGATAAAATTTGCTCAAATCTAACTCCCCTTTAGATATCAAAATATTTGTTGCTTGTTAAATAAACCAATGACACAGCTTTATACAATTTTACCTTATATCTGTCAAATTTTGCTTTTTTTTTCTTACATTGCATTAAAAAAAATAACTATACAGGGTGTTATATTTTTTTTAGGAAGAAACGTATGGCGTTTGGATTTAATTTTTTTTTAATTTTATGGATTATTTTTGTTGCCTGTAATTATAGAAACAAACCTGAATAAGATATTGTTGTTCAAAAGTAAGTATTTCTTTTTATTCTGTATTTATAATACTACTTCAATACGTAGTTTGAAAGCATTGTGTAACGCTGACATTAACGTTGACTCTGACAACGTATTTATTATACGAATTTATACAAACATCCACCGCCGGAATAAAATTATCAGGGTCATCTTCGATAGATAAGACCATGACAAATGCCAAAAATAAATGATTGCAATTTCGAACGTTGGATACATCTAGCATAATGCGTTCTCGCACTCTGGATACGTCGATGCATTCGGAGGTACTCGGAAAAGACGAGCCTGCGATACTGCACGCTTGATACGAATATGCCACCCGCTCCCCTCTCCATTACCAGAGGTCGGGTGGCGTTGAAAGATTCTAGACATAAACGAAACTACAGTTCGTCAAATTTCTAGAGGCTTTCGACGGCTAGACATAGAAAGCACTACTGACAGGCATCCCGACGGATTTACGCAATGAAAGTACACTCTGCACATCAAGTATTTCACTATTTCATTCAGACGTAAATGTCAGATGTAAATTTCGCTAAAACATTTCTTTTATTTTCGTTTGTGTTTTTTGCTCATTACAGTTTAATAGAACCTTAGTATGGAGTTTAATAGCAAATTAAGAGGCCGCGTGATTAACAGTCAATCTCGCGAAATAATAGCCAATGTTATAGAGTTTATGAGAAGAGAAGGAAACTTTAATTCACCTTCAATACCATTTAAAAATGTAAATGATCGTGTTGCTGCAGCCACAGGAGTATCTAAAAACACTGTCGTCCGCATTTCTGGAGAGAAAAAAAGAATCGATAACCGTGAGATATCGGAATTTTCATCACCAAGAAAAACCATTAAAAAACCAAAAACAGTTAATGATATAGATGAAGCTGCACAAGAATAAAATTTTATTTTTTTATTATTAGATAGCTATTTTTGTTTCTGAGTTGTGTTCATTTACAGGCTCAATTTTTTTCCGTTTCTCCTTTTTGATTTTATATGGGGTTTCAAGTTGTTTTTGACTTATTTCGACGTAAACCACAACACACTTTTTTAATAAAGCAAACAAGTGTTAAGAGGTATATGTACGTCTAAACTACAATTACAAAAAATTGATATGAAACCCATGAAACCACCAACAAAAATGTAAAGCTAGCTTCCGTACTAGAACATGGTGTCATTCGTCGAGATAATTTATCGTTTTGTTTAATAGATCAAGAAATGTAAATATTCCCCTGTTATTTTTTATAAAATTATAAGAGAAATACATTTTTTTCTAAATAGTATAGTTTATTATTTTGTAGAAAAACAAAATTTCGAAAATTTTAGTAATGTTTCAGAAACAACCGTTATTAATAATAGGTACCATTTTCCTTAATAAGCTAGAAATAAAATATAAACTATTTCCACGATTTACAAAGGCCAAAAAAAAAATTATAGGTATTTTCCGCTATCCTGTAAAATTTATATTTTCTGACTCAATTTCAAAAGGTTGAAGGAATTCCAAAACACCTTTTATGGCATAATAATTATTTTCAATTCTACATACTATCTTTAGCTGCTTTTAAAAACGTTCTAAGAAAGTCCAATCAGACCAATTTAATCCCTAAACTATTCCACACTTTTAAAATTTAATTACCTAAAAATATTAAAAAATATTTAAAATAACTTGTTTAGCAGACTGTACAATAGCTATCTTAGTCACACGTAGCGCGTTCTCTGTCTGGGCGTCGAACACCTCTAGAAATTTGATGAACTGTATAAAACTATTGTACAGGGTGGGCGCGTTACAAATGACTACAGACCGCCACTAGACAACAAAATCTTGATAATGTAATTAGGTCAGAAAAGAAATGTGGTGGGATGATAGACATGGGTCCCCTGATACTACACCTAGGTTTGAAAACTCGGGGGTTTGCTGCTTGAGGGGTGGAGAGTAGAAAATTTTGTGTCGCGACGTTTTTCGGGAAATAGCACCGTTGTCGTAAGTGCAATCGAAAAAAAGTTTAAATGAATTATGTATAGGACAAAATCGTACATAATTACATTTTTTTGTCTGCGGCCAATAGTTCCCGCTCTACGACGCGCCAAAGTAAAGGGTTGATTTACAATTTCAACAAAATAAGAATTTCAGCACGGATTAAGATAAAGATCGCTATAAAACAATTATGTAATATATTTTTTTAAAAGAGTAATGATTTCTGAGTCTGCAGATGCCCGATTTGATACATTGGGTCGTATATAATAAATGCTATGATGTTTTGAAGCACGCCCCTATATACTCCGATATAAAGATTTTGTAATTATCAGAATTTACAGTCAATATTTCCTTAATATTGTTAACCTTGGCGCCAAATTTATTATTTTTTTGCATTAGTTGTCATGAATATCCTGTTTGTGGTAGAGCATACGTGCCCCTTGTTCGGCCTCAACTTATTATTTATTACTATCTACGAGTATGTAATATGTTAATTCTTTTCCTTGCTACATAGTAAATTGTGGATAAAATTTGCAACTTTTTAATATGTAACGGCTAAAAGAGGCAGATACCTGCTGAAAGAAATCGCCACTCAAAGCAGCACTGATATACTCTTCGATTAATCCAAAAAAGCTCAAAAAATTCATTCATTTTAGCGGCGCTGCCACCAACATCAGATGCGTGCCATCATCATTCATTGCGTACTTATTATCAAGTACAGAGCTGGCGGGAGTTCAGAAATGTATCAAATCGGGCATGTGCAGACACAAAAATCATAACTCTTAAAAAAAATATTATATAATTGTTTTATAGCGATATTCGTCTTAATCCGCGCTGAAATTCTCATTTTGTTGAACATTGCAAATCAACCCCCTACTTTGGCGCGTCGTAAAGCGGGAACTATTGGTCGCAGACAAAAAAAGTAAAAGACAAAATTGTGCACGATTTTCCCTTGTACATATTTTATTTAAACTTTTTCAATGCTCCACTCCTCGAGCGGCAACCCCCCGAGGTCGCAAACTTAGGTGTAGTATCAGATGACTCCATGTCTACCATCCCACCAAATTTAATTTTTTGCGAATAGAAACCACCCACCGTTTGAACTAATATACTATCATGTTAGTACGATTAAAAATAAAGATTAGGAAAATCCATATCCAACTCTTAAACATTTTGTATGTACTATCTTAATAATATTCCATTTTAAAATCCTGATTCTTGGTTTATATAATTTAATTTTTAGTTCTTGTAAATAATTTATGTTTTCCAAATTTTTAAGTAAATATCTAAGAAAAAACAAGATAGAATTAAAAAGCTGTATTTTCAAAATTTTATCTGTTTCTTTTCTCCAGTAGACATGTAGAAAATAACATTTATCTTAGCAGGTTACAATAAATTTAACTTACAAACAAGAAGGCAACTTAATTGTGACTCACTAACTTAAAATAAATTTAATATTATGTTTGAGGGATTTAATAGATTTTGTGGATAATTATTTGAAGCGCTTGCTAAGCTATATTCAGAGGGGATTTATTTAACCTATTTAAAGATTGAAGAATCAATTAAAACGTTTCTATCAGTCGACAGTGACCAGCTGTCAGTTCATAAAGTCATCCCAAATAAAAAATGAGAAATACAGTTCATTTAAAAACAAACTCTTTCTCCCTTGAATTCCCATTTCCTTACCAAGTTACACGGCATATTTGTGGGATATGCCGTGGATCTAGGATAGGTTTAAATAATGATGCGCTAAAAATTGAGAACATTGATTTTTAATTATTGATTTGTGAGTAATTTATTCTGCGTTCATCCCCCGGCGGACTTAATAATTGATCAAGGAGATACAATCGAGCCTAAGTTAAGTCAACCCGTTAAGCTATTTTGAGTTATAATTCAATGTAATCAGTTGAAACAATTAAATTTAGAAAAATAACTAATTAACTTTGCTTAACCTTTCCCTTCATAAAAGACGCCATAATTAAATTTATTTTTCTATTAAAAATTATCCAATATGCAATAAAACTAATACGATGTTAAGAGGCTATGGAAGTTACATAACAACGTGGACGAATGTTGCCACAGTGTTGTATATACTTCATTATTAAGCTCTCCTAATTCAAGTTTTAATTGTAAATGATATCGAGTTTTGTTTATAACTATTGGAAGTAGCTTTAGCTAAGCAATTTTCACAATTACAATTCACTATATTTTTGATTTGTGGTTGTGGTTTATATCCATTAAAACTAGATGTATTGGTTGAACCAATAGACATTATATCAAAAATTATATTTTTAGAAAGGATGTATGTGGCATAACTTTCATATTTTAATGGATATACTCCATATGTAATAAATTTGTCTTAATAACTAATAGTGGTTTACATAAATCTGGAGTAACCGTCGAGCATCAGTTAATTTTTTTAAAATTAAACCTGTCTTTGTTGGTCACCGTTGTTTTAATTTCACATTGACAAAACTCATTTATATTATCTTCTACAACATTATGAGACATCATTCTTGTAGCTACGAAGTTAGACAAGCACCTTACACATTTGGCCTGGAACGAGCCAAATTGAAAACTTCCAGCACCGCAGTTGTGTAATACCAAAGCCGTTCCTCCTCCTCCTCCATGCCCAAGATAATCTATATATTCAATTAGACTTCTTATCACTCCTTTGCTCAAGGTACGAACGCCAATTTCAGTCACTTGTCTATTTACTTTCTTGCTTGCATCGATTGTATCGAACTCATTGTAACCTAGTTTTTTATTTAATTCAACAACTGCTGTTACAAACCAATATTCTTTATCGGGGTTATATAAGGATCTTGGTTGTGCTAAACTGATCTGTGGCCCTGCTCTGAAATAGAAAATTATATTTTATTCCTATCTATTTAAAATTAAAAATGCTTATTTTTCTATCAAGATATAGGTTGAATAACCCAGTCGTTGGTCATTTATTATTTCATTAGGAGTGATTGGCCTAAAACTTAAAAACCCCGTTATTAACAATTCCCTGGTAAAAATACAATTTATATTATTATAACATAATCTGGCCACACTTGCCATTTTTTATGTAGTTGTTTGAATATCAACCCCACTACTTTCTCAGTCATCCAGTTACAAAATGATGGTCATTGCTGACGGACGTGTATCTATTTGTAAAGTGATTTCGTAAGGTGTGTACATTAGGTATTTTGTTTTGCCAATGGATAACTTTGAGGGTGGCCAATCACTGATTTTTGTTAAATTTTAGGTCACCTAATGCCAAAAAACTTGTTGGTAAAAAGTACAGTAAACAATATGATGAACACCAAATTCAAGAAGCTTTCCAAGCAATCGAAAATGGACTGCCAATACGCGAAGCTGCAAGGCGTTTTAAAATCCCAAGGGCCACACTTCAATTTAGAAGATATACCAAATTGGTAAAACCAGTTTGGGTGCTAATCCTATACTTACCCAACATGAAGAAAAATTGTTGGTAAAGTGGATTATTGAAAATCAGAAACGTGGATTTCCTCGACGTAAGGAGGATATTCAAGAATCAAAAAAGAATTTCTGGATAAAAATCAGAGAAAAAAGCCATTCATATGCAACTGCCCTGGCGAAATTTGGTATGAAACAAAAATAAAGAAATTTGTGAAAGAACAGGTGAGGCAGTAACTGCTGCCAGTGCAAATGTTTCAGAAGGAGATATCAAAAAATGCTTTGAGGGCATTGAAAAATATCTTGATTCAAAAGGCTGGTAATCTATTTTGGAAAATCCAGATCATATCCAAAATGCTGATGAGACAGTTAACGAAATTAAACATGGGAAGACAACTTTTGACGGTGATATTTACTTTTACAGCGTCTGATAAGGTGGTTGTTTATCCCTATAAAGAGTGCCTTTGCTCAATCGATTCCAGAGGGACACAGGTTGGGATGAAATCAGAAGTAATGTGTGACTATGTCAAAAATGAATTACATCCAAGTTTGCAGAAAATAGACATCACTTTTCCGGTCATACTTTTCTTGGATGGGCATCGAACACATGTTACTTAGGAGCTTAGTTGTTTGTGTGTAATACCGCAAATTATTTCAGCATTCTTATTTCCAAATGCCACAAGTACTCTGCAACCAGCTGATGTTGCAGCTTTTAAGCCAATAAAACATAATGGGTGGAAAAGAGCAGTGGTAAACTGGAGGCTAAGTCATACCTTGGAAACTTGTAACAAAAGAACACTGGATGAATATTAAAAGTAGCAGTAGACCAAACTGCCAAAGCTGAAACAATTAAAAACGGATTTAGAGTAAGTGGTCTATATCCATGGAATTCAAATGCAATAAACTTTTCCAAGTGTTTGATGAAAAAAACAAACTATCGAAAACAAGGCTTCATTTTCCACGAAAGATACATTTTTAAGTTATACCGACTGGACGATAATCAGCTATTCGTTATAAATTATGGAAAAGATTTTTAACCAGATCAAGAACACCAGTTGAAACGAATAATTTATATGGTTGATGAACTAGATACTTTTAAAAAAGAATTCCCTGAAAACCCTATCAGTGAGGAATTACCTGTTGTTTTAAACAATGAGGAACATAACATAACCTAAATATTAATGAAATGTCAATTTTGTTTGTTAACAAAGAAAACCAAATTGCACAGATACCTGATAAAGAAAATATTGAATCTGATATTTTATTGTAGACTAAAATAGATGAGATGCCTATCGACAAAAGCAATAAATCGGAGACAACAAAAATGACCATGAGATATTGTCCGTGAAGGAACCTTCCAAGGACTACATAAACAAATATTTGCAAACAAAATTTAAGAATTGCTCAGAATTATTTACAATCTTTAGAATGAAGTCCCTGGTATGCAAAAACTCCCACTAGAAAAGACAAAAAAGAGACTGAGAAGCTAACATTTGCTTTAAAATCTACACATTGACTTAAAAGAAAGGCAGAAGAAGATGCTAAAAAAGGAAGGAACTTGAAAAAGAAGAAAGAAACTTAGACTTCAGAAACAAAGTGAGAAAATTAAAAGAAATGTCAAAAATGTTTCAAAAAAGAAGCAACGTAAACCACCAAGGAACACAAGATCCAAAAATCAAGAGGAAATGAAAAAGACGTCTAAAAAACTGAATAAAAGGGAAATAATCATCTCTAAGAACAAATAATGTAAATTTTCAGCCAGATATTGATTTTAAAGATTGAAACAGAAAATGGAATTTATTCTCCTGAAAATAAAAAAGAAGTGTTGGGTGAAAGGGGAAAACTTAAATAGAAGCAACAAAAATAAAGAAGAAGAAAATTGATACCAAATGGAGTTTAAAATGTTAAGTTTTAATTTGGCTCCTGTAAGATCGCCTCTTGAAATTTATGAAAATACAGATGAAGATAGTCGACAAGAATTACTAAACGAATCTGCAGTAGAAAAAGGCAAACAGTCGCTGTTTCTAAACAGTCATTCTAAAAGAGAGACTTCTTTAGAATTTGAAAATCAAATAATAGCTGAAGGGCTGTGCTTTTCGTGTACAGCTAATTTGACTTTCCAAAATTCTGGTGTAAAATGTCAGTCATGTCAGAGAGTTCACTAATAAGTTGCTCATAATCTGCTAAGTGTCCACTGAATAACGAAAAACTACCGTTTATTCGTTCCGTGCGAAGTCATGGAAAGGGAAGCAAAAGCGATACTAGCCTAGCTGCGGATAATTAGTGCATTTTAGGGCGATATTTTGTAATTTTGGCATATCAAATACAAGTATACATTTTACTTTTTTCAAAAAAAGTAGGTAAAAACAATACAATAAGCAACCGGAGTTGCTGTGTTGACAAGTATTAGAAATTAAAAATTAAAAAAAACCGACTTCAAAAACGTGCAGATGCCATCACCACATCTTAAACAAATTTATATGGAACCACCTCTGAGGTAACCCCTTACTAACAAAAAAATAATCATATAAATCGGATAAGGTGGTAAAGCATTATCGCTAAACGTACATAAAAAATGAAGAGTTTGAAAATTTTCTCATGGACCCAATTATCAGATTTTAACCAAATATATATGGGACCACCCCTGAAGTATCCTCTTTCTAACAAAAAAGAATCATTAAAATCGGACACCGTGTTAAAGAATTATCGCTGAACATACATAAAAAAAAATATCGCGACGAATTGATAACCTCCTCCTTTTTTGAAGTCTGTTAAAAATTGTACAAATACTAGCAAAAAAACCGTGAAACTTATATAAAAAATTTTAGTAGTAAAGTGAAAATTAAATCAAAGAAATAAATGGATAGGTGTACAATAAGAAGAAAAATTACCTTTATTTTTGTAATTATAACCGTAATGCTGGAAACAGTAGACATCAGAAACTTGAAAGGTTTTTAATAAACAATAAATTATCATTTTACGATGTTCTTTAATATCCCTTTATTCTTAAATGTTCATTCATCAAGGACTAGATATCAAGATTTCTGCCTTTGATTATTATATGTGGATGGAATATGCAATTTTGTGACTTACTGATGGGAAACCAGCTTTAATCATTCATTCTGTTTTCTTTCGAACAAAAATGAAAATATAAATAACGACCCTTTTTTTATACATTTTAACTTTACGCTATTATTAAATGGTATTTTTTATTTTGACAGAATAGGCTAATTCTTCAATGACAACTTATTAGACTTAGGCAACTTCTCATACATTTTCCAGTAAATACTGTTGCCTATCTATATTTTATTATTGATTTTTATTGATTATACATAATTTTCTTTAATTTAAGCGATAAAAATATATAATAATAATAAATTAATGTTTAACTTGTTTTACAAATCCATATACTTTTATTAAAATTAACATATATACCTTTAATTACGAATTCTATTAAAAATTGTATTTGTCAGTATACGCAGAAATAGTCCATTAGTACCAAATCGTATTGGCGCTGTTGTCGCGCACGGAGCAAATTGGTAACATAAAAATTTCTTAACTCTAGGACTCCTTGGCGTTAGGGGGCTGTTAAAATTCATGTACCTTAACGGCCCCTAAAGATACATTAAAAAGGGGGTCAATAACTACTTAACGTCTAGGCCAATGACAGAGTGACTTATACCAACCACTGGTATGTGGTGGTTATTTATGAATATAATTAAACAAATTTTTTGGAAAATATAAATATATGTGACTAGAAGAGTTGGCTGGCGTTAAATTTTAAGAACAGGGTAAAATATACTAACTAGTTAAGAGTACATGTAATGGCCAATGACTAGTTGGTTTACCCTATTCTTAGAAATGTACTTATTTTTTTCGTATTTCCATTAAAATCGATTATTCGAATATCTTGAAATAATCAATTAATTACAACGCATAATAACCGATAAATCGATTTTTTTTAAACGATCGAATATAAGAGCTAAAGGTCTACTTACTTTTTAAACAATTCGTTTATATTTTTATACAATTTGTCAGTTACTTTAGAAGCTGCTTCTGTAAATACTGTTCCACTAAGATTTTTACCCTCGCATATTCTTAACTAAAATAAAAATTTATCATAATTTATTAGGTGGAAATCATGTAGGTACTTGGTATGCAATATGTCAGGATAAAAAATTTGCATTAGCAAAAGGTTCATTCACTAAAATAATTAGCCTATGGAGCACTTAAAAATATCAAGTTTGCTGCATGCTAACCAGTTTTCGTAAAACACAAAACTAGCTATTGCTCAAAAATGAGAAGTTAAACTAACACAAAGAGAAACAATTATACAAATGGGTTGTTAAAGAACAACAGTATGGTGAATATGTCAGTATTTATTGGATCAATCCATTAGCAGTAACTGACTATCAAGTTCAAAATACATATCGATTTTGCAGAAATTTGTAAAAAGGCAGAAGGCAGCACTACGAAATCTTTTATTGTGGTAATTGATGAGGAAACTAGCAATAAAAGAATCCAGTACTGTTGTGAAAAAATACCTTGACAAGTTTTCAAAGAATGGGCTACAAAAAAGGCATTAACTTAATAACGACTACACCGTCCACCCAGCAGGAAATAGCAAAGCAGAAAGGGTTATACGAGATTTGAAGGACTTCATGAGTTGTTATAATAACTTTCCAGGAAGATGGAAAGTCGCATTGGAATATGCCGTACAGCATCACAACTATTCCCACAATAAATACTTGGGATGTTCAGCATATTTTAAATTGCATGGGTAGAGTAAAATTTTACCTGCAGATAAAGAACTAGGTATAGAAATCGACATTGAAGAAAAACCTAAAAACCTAGAGGAGCAAATAAAAAACAAATGAAAAATTCAAGAACAAACTAATAAATGTAGAAGAAGAAAGCCTCCTAAACTTAAAGAAGAAATTGGATTTTAGTCCGAAACCAGAAAATTGGTAAATACATAACCAGAGGTCCTTTCCAAGTTTGCAAAGTAAAACACATGCAAGGAGTTCTGGCATGTGTGCAATGTACAGATAAAGAAGAAAGTGCTAATAGCAATATTCGCCAATTTTATCATAGGAATGATAACATCTTAGAATGGGAGACCGTGTAGGACATGCTGTATATTAATAATATTCGATGTAGATTGTTGATTGTCACTTTGACATATTTTAGTTAATAAAAGTCTTAATTCAGGAAATACTTTGTTATTAATATTGCTAACTATAATGTGTTGAATAAACGATTTTATTATTATATATTATGATTATTTTTACTCGTCGCAAACATTTTGTGAAGATCGTGAATATTACCAGCCTCGGCTGGTAAATTGTTCTCTCTCTTCAAAACAATGTTACTTTCGTCACTCGTAAAATAATATACCATTTTTCACTACCACTGGCAGTGCTCACTGAAAATATTTCTGTCATTGTTTATCGACATGGAAAAGAAGTTGAGAATACACTCAGTACGCACTGAACGTCCCAGTAGAAAACGCCATAATCAATCAGTAAATCACATACATTAGATCACATGGCCTTTATGGTACTTTTAGTTGAGAAGCAATAAGTGAAGAAGACGAATAATTGCTGGTTATTTAAGGCATTAAAAAATCATATTTAAAATTGACATGAGCAGGATTTTTGGAAGAATTCTTTAATTAAGAAGATAGAATAATCAACGAAATAAGAGAAGTATTAAGTGAGTTACAAATAATTTTATTTTAGAATTTAACACAGTGATACAAACCCTAAGTCACGGGATCATTTTCAAAATTTAAAGAATGTGTAGTATCCTCAATGTAAAATATGACAAACGGTTGAGGACGTTGGTTTCTATATTGTAAACTACTTCGTTGTATTGAAACTTTACATTGCACCTAACATTTAATTTTATTGGAAATAAATCAGATAAGAACTACCAATGTAAATTAAACTTAGATCACCCGAACTCTGATTATGCCATGGGTGAAAAATGCTATTTGTATCGATCTCATTTATATGTTTGATTTAACTTCAGGTAAACGAAAGTTTAAACCACTATTCAAAAACTAGCCTTTAAAACTATTTGTATATACTTTGAAGTTGTGTTGACAGGACGTCATTTATGTTAAATTCACACAGTAAGATATTTTATATACATCTATGCTTTTTTAAAGTAACCTCTTAGAAAAAATCCACATATTTTTAAATACCCACCTCATTTTTGCTGCAGTTATCTGTCCAAAATCCTGGATTTATGGCATACACATTTTGAAATTTTACTTTTACTGTGTTGATTTTTCTAAAAACTGCAGGAACGTGCATATTTCATCTGTGAATAAAAATTACGTATGGAATACATCTTGAACTTAAATTTTTGCGTGGTATTTTGTACTTGACGGACATTAACTAATGTTTATTCATCGTCGCCCTAGGAACGTGTCTGCATTCAATTTTTAATTATCTATGTCATACATTTTATAAATAACTGTCATATCAGTCAATGTTATAGCAAATGAGGGTCGTTTGATTTGAAACTCAATCGAGCGAGCGTTGAGGAGGTCCAGAAGTGATGACGTCACAATAGAGCATTGAATCGAATCAATTAAAACCTTAGACTAGGTAATTATCTAGTCTAAGATTAAAACAGAGTAAACATAACCTCGCTTTTTTGTTATTCCCGTTTTTGGTTATGTGTCAAAACAGTGAGCAAAAATGATGAAAATGGCAATGCAGCATATCCCATCTTCTACACTAACTGCTTCTGAAGGAGAAAGAGAACTTACAGAAGATATTTTCTCATATAATCAAGCATTATTATGATTTCAGGAAAGCAATGCCTGAGAAAAACATTCAAACAAATTTATTTTTTGATAGGAAATTAGCAACAAGTTTCAACAAAATCAGTTGAAGCAAAAGAAGCTATTGTGTTTTGCTTGTAAAGTTAATAAATACGTCTATTACGAATAGTAGGGTACCTACTGTATTTTATATTATCTCTTGTATGTATATAAAGTATCTATTGTGCATATATTAATAGTATGTAAGTTTTGTGTGATAATTTTAAAATGTTTTATGCTCTACTATAGGCAGTAACTAAACATATATGATGTATCTCCCGAATAAAATGTATTTTTTATTTGTTCATCCCATTCTATATGTAATTGGTTTTTAACTATTGAGTGGTGTACTAAATAAATATTAAATAACTTTCATGGGATTTTGGTAGCATTAATGTTTATTTCGTTTTTTTTTTCGTTTTATAAATAGCTCGCTTCTACACACAGATATTACATCTAGGTACAACCAATAACTATGTTTTAATTACATTGATTAATAATTTCATTATAAAATATGTACATTTATTATTATTACTATTATAAATAAATCATTGTTATTTGTTTTAACTTGCTTTTACTTGTCTTTTATATGCTCTATAAAAAAGATTTTTATTTTTAAATGATCTACTTGAACTAAACGAAAATAATGCGTGGCCACGAATCCATTTGAAAAGCATACAGTTTCAAAACCTATATCTACAATAAAAAAAAGTTTTCAATCCTAAACGAACATAGTCATTTCCAGCAAAACATGTATATAATACACTGTATAACGAAAGCTTAACATAAATAAAAAAAAATCCTTAATATTTTTAAATAAATTTGTTTCTCTTAGTGCCAGTCTTTTCACCTTTAAGTAAAGTTGAATAACTATTTGCTGATTAAACGATAGGCTGCTGATCGCTAATCTGTCAAGGAAACATACGTGTAACTTTACTCTGAGGTGAAAAGATGGGCCCTTAATCATGCGAATCAATTATCAAACCGTGCGCCATTGAGAATGGAATACCAACCCCTCTCGCCTCACATCTAAAGTGATGACCCCGCTTATACATAACACATAACAAAATACATTGAATGATATCTCTAGTCTTATATGCTCTAAGATGAATAATTTTAGCTATATGATAAAAGCGGCTAAGTAATATGTTCTTCTTTTCTTTTTTTGGGCTATGTTACTACGAACAATTTACCCAGATAAAGTTGATTTGCTTCTACTAGATAGTGATTTTAAATAAATCTAAAAATTTTAGAAGGATGGTTATTCTTCTATCATCCAAATGAGACAAGATGTATCGAATATCAAATGGAGCCGATAAACCAGACTTAATTAGTTCCAAATACAGATCAAAAAGGGGAGATTTGTTAATGGAGCATTCTAAGATGATGTGATTTAACAATCCAACTTCTCCACACTCGCAAAATGGGTCATTTTTAATTCCAATTCAAAATAAGTGATATGGGGTTAGACAATGGCCAGTTCTCATCCGTATGATTGTGAAAAGGTACCCTCTTTCATGGCATTATTTACTATTAAACCACGGAGTTTTGGGTATTTCAGGGACCACTTGGAAGTAAAAAGATGTTTTCTTTTCTTTTGGTAAATTCCATTGTTGAAGCCATTTGTTCCAAATTTATTGTTTAATGAAGGGTAAAACGTTTAATATTTACAGGAATTTTAAGGATTCTTCCTATATTTGCTAATTGGTCGGCTTTATGGTTGCCAATAATGACCTGGAATCCATGTCAAAGTGATGTGGATGTTATTCATATTAGCAAGTAAGATATCTTGTTTTGTTAGAAAGGAGCAATGATCAGTTTCTGTAGAGAATTTCATGTTTCCAATTTTTTGTTAAGCAGATTTGGAGTACGACAAGATAACTGAGTTCAAGATATTTTTTTTTTCTAAAATGATTTGCAAGGCATGGTTAATTGTAATCATTTCTGCAGTACATATTTGTGTATGTTGAGGTAGTCTGTTTGAAAACACGTATTTGAGGTCTGGATAAAATACTTCGAAGCCTGACTCATTAGAAGGACCTACAGATCCGTTCGGTGAAGAATTTTTTGTAACCGGGTAGCTTGTTTATTGTGTCAGTAAAAATATCATCTCTAATTGATCTAACATTTAAAACTGAAATTGGAGAGAGTTGGATGATCAATTCAAATTCATTCAGGTTTATTAAACTTAATAATACTGGAGTGTCAGTTACCTTTTTGTAAACATTTCTTTCTTTATATTAGCGTTGCCAAATGTTTTAACGAATTGATGACGGAGTTATTTTCCAATGCAAGATTTTTTAAAAGAAGTGTATAACAAAGCCAGTCCCTCCTTAAGTTTAAGGGGATATCCCCGCTCTCTGCTTACAAAGCATAAATTGTGGTTGATTTCATACAACCAGTGATGACATGTAAGCTCTGATATTGTAACCTGTCCAACTTCTTCTGTAGGTACTTCGGACATGGAGAAATTACCTGGCATCCATAATCTATATGACTTAAGATGATAGCGTTGTGTATTATGCAACGGATTTTTGGATCACTACCTCACCACGTACCACAAAGAGCACGCATGACATTTAAACCTCTGTTAATTTATATGTGCATTCCATTTTAAATGTTTATGAATGTAAATGCCTAAATATTTAAATGAATCTGACCAGTGAATGATTGTATCATTAAATTTAATTTTTAGAAGGATTAATTTAATACGACCTTTTGAAAAAAGGAGAGCCGATGATTTAGTTATAGACAATTTGAAATTGTATTCAACCAGCCAGTCTTAAGCAATCAAGAAATAGTTAATTTTTATAATAATATTGAAAACATTTTCTCTACTAACCAAAATTACAATGTCATCCGCGTATTGGATTAATTTAAATGTTTTTGGTATAATATTGAAAAAAGATAACATATAGAGATTGAACAAAATGGGGCTAAGGGGAGATCTCTAAGGAAGTCCTCGCGAGTGCATTTTGTGCAAAAAACTGGATAATGTGAGTGCTAAAGTGTCTTTTCATAAGTAAGGTTACGTGATATATTGCATTGTTCAGTGGTGTAGATTTAAAGATGTTTGCCGTAATATCACATGTTTGTTTTATTGTTATTTATTTCAAAGTTATTAATTTCACAAAAAATTATTATTAATGAAAACACTTTAGTCTGTACTAGCAGTAAAATAAATATGCCTATACTTGCTTTATAGATTTCCATAGGCATACAAGAAATATTTGGCTATCAATTGTAGAACTTAAGGTATCCAGAAAAGCGTTTATGCTCGGAGCATTTTGAAGGTTTTGGATATATTAATTTTAAATACTGTAAAAATCTATTTTGGTTTAAATATTTCGTCTCTACATCATACCTACCTAAAATTTATATTCCTTCTACTATTATTACAGTTCAAGCGTCCTTTCCTACTTATGTATGGAATTAACGTCCACTACTTTCTATTCATCACGTACATCCTCTTATTTTAAACAATCGTTCAAAATATCAGTAACTGTTTTTATGACTATTAGATCAGAATTTTTATTAGTTCGATGAGTAAATTTCCAGGCAGATTTAGTAATTTTCATAAAGCACATGCCTGTCCTGTAGTATTTTTTTGTTCGAGTACATCTGCGGCTTCTAGTTTAGGAATCATTTTCAAAATGTCTTTTTCTCCGTTAGTAGTGTACATTCTAATACTTTCTCTAGTATTTATCCTGAATATTTAGGCATTTTTTACACTTATATACCAATGTAATATAAACTATATAACAAATAAAAATAGTTTTAAAAATACAATAAAAATTCATATAAAGTAGATAAAAAAATAGAGAAAAGTTAATAAAAATGAAGAATGAGTACATAGTCGTAGATATAAAAACACAAAACACCAAACTATTGTCTCCGTTTTATGATAATATAATTCTCCTCCCAGATCCCCACTGATGTTCACCTAAAATGTTTATTTTAAATTCAGTATTAATTTATTATTAACCATAGAAAGTAATTAAATATTTTTAAAGAGTTGTAATAATAGTTGTGTACACACTGGTCCATAAGGAATAAAATGAAAGACATATTTTATAGTGCGTACTGTAGGCAAATATACAGTGCGGTCCATACATAAAGAATACAATAATTTTCTTTGTAATTTATAATTTATGAGTAAAATTCTTTAACTCGTCAATTTTTAACTCTCAAATTACATTTTTGTTTTTACACCATCAAGAAAATTAAATTTAAAGATTTTAACTTGTATTTGAAATGTATACAATCAAATGAATCGTAAACAATGGCCATTTGTCAAATATCTCTCAAATCTGATCTTTACAATTTATTTTGTAATATGAAATAAAATGAATTTAGCTCAAAGCCAAAATATCACATAAAATATAACGACCGTTTCCCCTTAAAAAAAAAAACAACTTTTTTGGATAATACCGCAACAGGCATTGATTTACATCCGAAGGAAAGACAGCAGAGATAGAAATTAATTTTCAACACTCTCTACTTTGATTTTGCTCACCAAGGAGAACATCATTCTTGGACCGGTTTCGTCCTTATTAGGACTCCTCA